GCCTCTGCCTCCCAAGTGCTGGGACTAAAGGCATGTGCCACCACACCCGGCTTTCCATCTTTTAAAAAAAGTATCTCATTATTTTTATTTTATATGTATGAGTGTATTGCCTACATATATGTAAGTGTGCCTGTGTTGTGCAATGCCTGCAGAGGTAGAGTGCTTGCCAAACAAGCACAGGCCCTGGGTTTGAGTCCCAGTATTGTATAAGCCAAGTGTGATGGAGCAAGCCTGTAATCCCAGCACTTGGGAGACAGATCCAGGATGAGCAGAAGGTCAAGGTTATCCTCAGATACATAGTAAGCTAGAGGCCAGCCTGAACTAGAGACTCTGTGGGAACACACACACACACACACACACACACACACACACACACACACTGCACACACCCAAGCTGATCTCTGTCAATTACCCATTGATTATTTCTCAACTCCAGATCCACCCTTTATTTGCCCACTACGATAACAGGACAGGGTCTAGCAAGCACTTCTCACCATCTCTAGTGAAATGTTGGACTTTGCCCATTGAGGGTGCTAGAGGGACATGGCAAAGGACAACCGGCTGCTCTTCCAGAACTAGGGGTAGAAGATAGACTTCCTGCCCTTCCAATCCCGTCCTCTCCCTCCCTTCTCCTCTTCTTGCTGATTGAGTTGGATCTTACTACGTAACCCAGGCTGCCCTTGAACCCAACAACCGCCCGCCTCAGTGTCGAGTGCTGGGGTTACAGGTGTGAATCACCACATCCCATTGCTCTTTTCTTTAGAGTGCTCTTCCACCTTTACGGCAGGTCCGCTCCTCATTTCAATAACCTGCTCCTGGTTAGTGACTCTTTCTAGTAAACATTCCCTGTGGAAATTAGCAAGTGGCTTCCATTTCTTTTTTCCACCCAATGTTTTATTTTTTGGGTGGCATTGTGGATGGACCCCAGGGCCTTGTGCATTCTAGGCAAACACTTTACCAACAAGCCTTGCTACCACAATCCTTCTAGGCAAGCACTCTACCACTGAGCCACACCCCCAGCCCCTCACTGGGGAATTCTGGGCAGGTGCTCTACCACTGAGCCACACCCCAGCCCCTCACTGGGGGATTCTAGGCAGGTGCTCTACTACTAAGCCACACCTCAGCCCCTCACTGGGGGATTCTAGGCAGGGGCTCTACCACTGAGCAACACCCCCAGCCCCTCGCTGGGGGATTCTAGGCAGGTGCTCTACCACTGAGCCACACCCCAGCCCCTCACTGGGGGATTCTAGGCAGGTGCTCTACCACTGAGCCACACCCCAGCCCCTCACTGGGGGATTCTAGGCAGGTGCTCTACTACTAAGCCATACCCCCAGCCCCTAACTGGGGGATTCTAGGCAGGTGCTCTACCTCTGAGCCTCGTCCCCAGCCCCTCACTGGAGGATTCTAGCAAGCACAGTAGCACTGAGCTGCATCCCAAGCCTGATCACCTAGTTTCTACAGAACATGAGTCTGTGCTGCTTCCTTCATGGCATTACATTAGTTTCATTGGACACAGTGAGCAAGAAGCCTCAAGTATGCTTGATGTCTTAGAAATAAGGCACATGAGCCAGAGGGTGGGAGGTAGACTACAAAGTCTCCTCCCCACTGATTTAAATCCTAGAGTCCTATAGTGATCTTGGACACGTTCCTATATTGCTTCTAAACCAGGAGACTATTTGCACCATGGGAAATTACTATGAGGAAAGTTGTAGGTGCCTTAGGATTTGTGGGGCAAATACAGCAAGTTTTGGCCTCTTCCTCTTACACATTTGTTGGGGAACCTGTTAGTGTCAGCTCTGATGGGAAGAAGTGGCTTTGCAGAAGGTCTTGGTGGCAATCTCAGCTGCCCTGACACCAAGGCCACGAGACCAGAAAGTCTAACTGAAGGTTCTTGTGACATTAAGATAAAATAGCACAGGGGGCTGGAGAGATGGCTCAGCAGTTAAGAGCACTGGCTGCTCTTGCAGAGGACCTGGGTTCAGTTCCAGGAGAATCTGATGCCCTCTTCTGACCTTTGTGGGCAGTGCATGACACAGGTGCACTTACATACATGCAGGCAATACATTCATATGCATAAAATAAAAAATAAAACATAAAAAATAAAATAGCATAATCATGATGTATAACTTAAGAAGTTTAGATAGAAGGTATGCCTCCTTATGTGGGAACTGCCTCCACTTGGAAAGTAACTCCTGTCTGTTACTGGGCCCAGTGGAATTTGGATGCTCAGCCACAAAACAAGGGCATTATGATATGAGAACGATGTGTCCTACATGCTATCCAGGTCACCAAACCCTGACATTGGATATTCACAACAGAGCCATCATCCATGAGAAAGGTGTGTGTCTGATCAGATTCTAGTAGGTCAGCAGTGGTTCGGACTCCATGGCACCCACTTCCCGTTTCTTCCTGTACCCCCGTCTATGAGCTCCCAGGAATCTCCCGACTCTAGAGCAAAGAAAGTGCAGACTGGGTTTTTGCATGGACCACCACGGTAAGCAGTCACCAGGCATACATGGATAGTGGCTGCATGAGGTCATCTTTCACAGAGGATGTTGGGAAACCCTTCCAGTGGACAGAACTTCAGGGTTCCAATTTATGTGAAGGGGGCATATGGCCTTAACTCCACTTCTACATGGCTCCAGGGTGAGTAGTGTGGTTAAGGCCTTGAAAAGGTTAACAGTATAAAGTGGGGACTAGGAAGTATGTGGGTGGTCTTCTGGAGATGAACACAGAGTGAAAGCCATCCATGCCCTACCCGCATGCCTGTCAGAATATACACACCAATGGGGAGGCTTTTGGTGCTTAGTGACAGCATCAGTGCCTGTTCAATGAGTGCAGGTGGAAAACAGCCATGAGGGTTGGAACTATGCACGGCTTCTATAAATGGGCTCACTCTCCCCAAGGCTGCCCTGACTGTTGACTGTACTCTGCACAGCCTCCCAGGAGAGGCAGCAGCTGCTGCCTCCTGCTGCAGTGTCATTCTCCACCAGGAGGTATGCTACCTACTCAGGATGTCATTATGGGGAGAGTCATGCTTCATGTCACAGGGGCAGACACACTGCATGGGTTCCAGCTTGCCCTCAATGCATGCTACTCGGAGCATCTATGGACACTGCAGTTTAGGGGCTTAGAGAATATCTTTAAAAAAATAAGTCATTATTTTTATTTTATGTGTATGAGTATATTGCTTGCATGTAAGTAGGTGCACCTGTATCGTGCAATGCCCATGGAGGTCAGAAGAGGGCGTTGGATTCCCTGGCACTGGAGTTATGGATAGTTGTTAGCTTCCATGTGGGTGCTGGGAACCAAACCTGGGACCTCTGGAAGAACAGCCAGTGCTCTCAACCACTGAGCCATCTCTCCAGCCCAAGGCTGTCTCTTTCTATTGCTATGGTGACCCCTTGCTGTATTTCTTCTAAGCAGAGATATATTCTTATTTTTGAGACAAAGTTTCACTATGTAGACCAGGCCCAGGCTGGCCTTGAACTCACAGAGCTCCTCCTGCCTCTACCTCCTAAGTCTTGGGACCAAAGGCATGAGCCACCATACTCTCCTTGATTCTTCCATATGTGAAAGGTCCTAGTTGCATGCTCCCTCCATCACAGAGCCACCTGCAACCACTCCTTCCCTGCCATGATAGACTTACATCCCCTCCAACCATGAGCCAAAATAAATCTTCACTTAGTCGCTTTTTTGTCAAGTACTCTATCGCACCAATGAGAAAAGTGACAGACAGATGAGGGAGACGGAGAGGACCCTGATGGGTCTCTTCTGTGTCCATCCCCAGATTCACTCCTCATCCCTTGTTTTCACCTTTCTGCCATGTGGGTGTCAGATCTGTGGGAACTGCTTCAGTGGGTGTGATGGACAGCTTTAGTTGTCAACTTCACACACCTGGATGGAGGGATCCTCAGCTGGGGAGTTGTCTCCATTAAACTGGCCTGTGGCCATGTCTGTGGGGCATCTTCTTGCTTATTGATGGATGTGGGAGGGCCCAGCGCACTGTGGGTGGTGTTCTGAACCTGGGCAGGTTGTTCTGTATTGTATAAGAAAGCAGGCTGAGCATGGGCTAGGGGAGCAATCCAGTAAGCAGCATTCCTCCATGGCCTGTGTTCCAGCTCCTGCCTCCAGGTTCCTGCCCCGAGTTCCTACTTTGGGTCCCCTCAGTGATGAACTGTGACCTGGGAGATGTAAGCCAAATAAACCCTTTCCTCCCCAAATTGGTATTGGTCAGAGTGGTCGATTTTGGTATTGGTGGTATTGGTCGATTTTGTCACAGCAATCGAAAGCAAACTAGAACAGTGGGGTCTCCTGCCTTAGGGCTTCTAGCTGGGCTCAGCCAATGGGGAGTCCTAATAGGATAGTGAGGTTAGACCATGAACTCCCCAGCCCCTCCCTCAAAGAGCCATCACTGGGCAGGATGCAAGTGTCTGTCTGAAATCAAAACTAAAATGCCTCCTTCTCTCTGTCTGGGTCTGTCTCTCTCTGTCTCTGTATCTCTCTTAATGACTCCTGACCTTCCAGCTCTCAAGTCTACAAAGGCAAAAAACACCTAGTGGCAGCAGCCTGGGAAACTACCTACACTTTCTTAACTCATCTCAGCCCTCATTTCATTTTATCTCATTTTAACCTCTTTTCCTCAGATGAGGTGAAAGCCCTTTGTGCTGGGACCCTGGCTGATGAGGAAGAAGGCTCTTGGTCACAGTGCCTCACCTTCTCTGTCACAGTGATGCCCAAGTGCTTCAGGCTGCAACATACTAAAGGTTTTGTGGTGACACACATTAGAATGAAGACAGAGTAGATCAATGGAGCCTTGGATGATGGCTCTCAGCAGAATCCTTTTTTCCTGTAGGTCCCATTCCCTCCTTACCTAGAGAAATCCCAGTATTCAGAGAAACAACAGGGACTTTATTATTATCCAGTACCTATGGCCAATATGTGGCACAGGGTCAGTCTAGATGCCCTTAGACTGTCCCATTATATAAATAACAGGTGATACAGATATGAGGATGAGGGAATGGTCATACACAGGGAGCCTGGGGAAAGAGATTCAAGTCTAAGTGCCCACGGTTAGGAAGTCAAAGGAAGGTTGGGTTTGGGTGGTTAATGGGGGTTAAGAATCACAAGGAAATGATGTTAGCAGGGAGGGCAAAGCCCTCCACAGAAAAGGGCTAAAGATAGCCCTAACGCTAACACCCATGCCAGGTTGGAGACAGAGGTGACTCCGTTTGGAAGCTGTGTATCTGTATCTTTTTTTCCCTCGTGGATTTCCTTTGCGGAGAAGATCCCGATCATCTTGGAATTACCCAGTAAGGATTTCGAAGATGAGGTCATGCATCCCTGAATGCTCATGGTGGAAGAGAGTCCACCTAGAGGGTGAAGACCCAGTCCAGGGTGGCACAGTTCAGCAACCCTAAAAAAACTCATACCTAGAAGTCCAGACTCTAGCTCTCACTCCTTGGACCCAGTAGCCTAGCTCAGCCTCCTCTCTCAGACTCAGGCATCCAGGTACTAGCTCCTTTCACTTAGAAACAGGGTTGGGCTATACCTCCTCCTTCAAAACCAGGGTTATGGGCCCCAGACCTCCTCCCTCAGACCCATGAATCTAACCTTAGCCCTCCTGCTTCCTCCCTGGATGTTGGGTCCCAGCTCTGTTCCCTCAGCCTCAGAGCTGAAGGCCTAACCTTTCTCCCTCAGATTCATGAGTCTACACCTCAACCTTCCTCTCTCAGATTCAGGAGTCTAGAATCTCATTCTTTTCCCTCAGACCCAGGGGTCCAGACTCCAGCCCCCTTCTGTCAGACACAGAAGTCTAGACCCCAGCACTCCTCCCTCAGACCCAAGGGGTACAGACTTTAGCCCTCCTCCCTCAGACCAAGAAGTCTAGACTCAATTCCTCCTCCTTCAGACCCAGGGATCCAGATCCAAGCCCTCTTCCCTCAGATCCGGGAGTCTAGGCCCCAGCCCTCCTCCCTGAGACCTGGGTTTCAGGGCACAGCCTCTTTTCTCGGACTGTAGAGTCCTGGCCCCTGTCTCCTTCATCCTTGGTATCCACTCTTCAGACTCACCTCCACGGAGCTCAATGTTACCATTATAACAGTGAGTGGTGCCCTGTGGGCAGGTGACAAAATTGGTGTTCCTAGAGCAGGATCCAGAGAACTGCACACAGACTGGACACCTCAGGTCTCCAGGGCGAGGGGCCGCTGAGGACAGAGAAAGTTGGGGGTGTGCAGCATGCTCTCAACTATAGCCACCAGCGTAATCTCCAAGTGTCTGAGTCCCCTGACTTCCTTGATGCCATACCTGGACGAGGGAGGGAGCCCAGCAGGACACTGCTGCTGCTGGCTCTGTTGCACAGGTCCGAGGAGCAGAACTGGGCATAGGAGGCGATGACCACTCCAGGGGGTCTGGAGTATATGGAGACACCCATGGCATTCTGTGCCCCAGCCTTGCTGCAGCCTTTGCTCCCTACTAGGATGGCTTTTTGACCTGAGGAGGTAAGAGAGTGAAAGTCACCCTGGGAAGAACAGGATGGCAGGGGCTGGGACCTGATTTCTCATTTCCTTGATGCTCCCAGACACAGGGCGAACACAGTCTCCTATTACAACAGCACAGGCCGTATTTACTGTCTGCCAGAGACTGAAGCCCAAGCCTGGGTCCTTCTGTTCTGCCCCCTCAAAAATCTTGTTCCAAACCTCCCTTTCTCTACCTCCTCTTCGCTGCTGGATTTCTCTCCAGAGCTCTGCTCTTCACGCCCGTAGTTCGCTCCTTTTACCTGCTTTTCTTTCCCTTTCCACACTTCCCAGTAAAGGTTCAAAAGGCAGATTGAAATTGCTTAGCAGAGCCCCAGACAGATGCTCAATGTCCCTCTCTCTCTCCTTCCCTCCCTCTCCCTTCCTCCCTTCCTTCCTTTCTTCCTCTCCTTTTCTATCCCTCCTCTTTCCCTTCTTTCTTTTCTGTTTGTCTTGCTCTGCTTTTGTCTCTGTGTCCCTGTCTCTGTCTGTATGTCTCTATCTTTTGAGACAGGGTCTCCCTGTAAGCCCCAGCTGGCCTGGAACTCTAAAGGCTCACCTTGATCTCACAGAGCTCCCCCTGCCTCTGCCACCTGAGTGCTGGGATTAAAGTCTCTCTCCCTCCCTCCCTCCCTCTCTCTCTCTCTCTCTCTCTCTCTCTCTCTCTCTCTCTGTCTCTGAGAGAGGCTCATGTAGCCTACACTGGTCTTGAATTCATTATATAGCTGAAGATGGCCTTGAATTTCTGATTCAACCGTCTCCACCTCCCCAGGGCTGTGAATTAATCCCAGGGCTTTGTTTACATGAGGCAAAAACTATCAGCTGAGTTACAGCCCCAGCCCAGTATTCATCTCCCAAGTGAATGGGGTCAGTGAGGCACCCCTATTCCAGCACCGTTCTCAATGCTGTGCGTGTGGCTCAGCATACTCACCTACGTCTACGAGCAGCAGTGTCTCCTGACACACTTCCCCAGCCTCACACTCTTGGGTCCCAGGTGAGGTCCACGCGACTGCTTCTTCAGCCAAGCTGCTGCTAAACTTCAACATGACCCCCCTGTGACAGGTCAAGGTATCTGAAGAGAAGAAGATCACACAGGTTAGCAAGTCAGGGAAGCCGCTGTGTCTGTCCCTGCAGGCTCTGGGCCCAGGGAGGCCATCACATTCTGAATCACTGGCTGTGATGTCCTTCAGTCTTGGAGTTAGAAGGAACTCAGAAGTCTAAGTGCCCAGGCCTACAGCACTGTTTACTCTGTTTCTGCATGGATATACACAGAGACCTCCTCTTGTGGCCTTAGAGGACGTCTGCTTCCCCCATGGGTGGCTCCTCTTGGCTCTCAGCCAATCTCTACCTCCCCATGCAGTTTTGAGGCCATCATTGGAATAATGAGGAAGAGAGCCTGAAGTCACCTTCACCTACATGTCAATGTCTACATCTACGTCTATGACTGTGTTCCTATCTATATGGCTATGTCTTTGTGTGTGTGTGTTTATGTGTATGTGTGTGCATGTTTGTATGTGGGTTCACATGTGCACGTACATGTGTGTGGAGGCCAGAGGCCATCTTCTGGAGTCCTTTCTTAGGAGTTATCTGACTTGGTTTTTCAAGCCAAGTGCTTTTATCCACTGAGCTATCCCTAGCCCACTTTCTTTAAAAAAACATTACATTTATTACTCTGGTATGTGTAAATATGTATTCATGCATGTGTACCACTTTTACATGTGGACGTCAGAGGACGTCTTTTGGGAGTTGGTTCTCTCCTTTGGTCCTGGGTCAGTCTTGATGGCAAGTGCTTTGACTGCTGAGCCATCTCACCAGCCTCCAACTTGTGTTTTGAAGCAGGATCTCTCACTGGCCTGGAGCTGGTGAGGTAGGAAGGTTGGTCAGCAAGACCCAAGGATCCACTTGTCTCTGCCTCCCCAGCGCTGGGATTACAAGCATGTGATACCTTATTTATTTATTTATTATCAGATGAATATACTTATTTATTTATTTATTTATTTATTTATTTATGTGTTTTGAGAGGGTCTCCCTGTAGCCACAGCTGGCCTGGAACTCACTATGTAGACTGGCTTTGATCTTATAGAGGTCCACCTGCCTCTGCCTTCTGAGTGCTGGGATGATGGGTGTGCAGCTCCATGCCCAGCTTTTTTATTTTTTTTAAACATGAGTTCTGGGGATTTGACTCAGGTCTTCATGTTTGCATAGCGAACACTTCACTGACTGAGCGGACTCCTCAGCCTCATATGTGTCTTTGAACTGAGAAGCCCTATGTTCCAAACAAAATGCTCCAACTGTGTACTGAGCACTTGCTTGGTGCCTGGATAAGGCACTGAATTGTTTTCTGACACAGGATCTGGGGTCCAGGCTAGCTTCCGACTGAAAATCCTCTGGCCCCTGTCTCTTGAGCAGTGGGATTACAAACCTAGCTCTAGTGTTCACTGTTGACTGGATTGTCTAATTTCCTCAATGCGACTCCCAAAGTAAGTGGAGGCATTATCATCACCACCATCATCTCTGCAGGCATGTGTGGCCCCTCCTGGTTTTTACATGGATGCTGGAGATTTGAACTCAGGTCCTTATGCTTGCATAGTAAGTGTCCTTAGCCACTATGCCATCCCTGATGAGCTTCTTCTACCAAGAAACTACATTTTATGTTTAAGACAGGCCACTTCCTCTGTGAATTCCTCATTGACACTACTGTGGCATCATCTTCTGCTTCTGCCACGTTGTATATGACTATAGTCCGGAATGCCCAAGCCATGCTGTTTCCCCTACCCAGTCCTGGAAGTCTGTTAGGCAGGACTGGGGTCTGACTCATCTGAGGGTTCCATAGGAAACCCTGGGGGCCTGAGTGTGACCTCACACCAGCATTTGTGCCCAGGGAGCTTGTCTTGAGGCAGCTCTTGTTCTGCACAAGGTGGGAAACCTCTAACTCACATTTTTCAACTTCTTCATTTAGGTGAACAGTCAGACTGAAACTTGAAGAGAAATATTTGCTGAATACATTCCCCTTTATCTCAGGGGAGATGGGGCTCTATCCCACCCTCTGTCCCCAGCACAACCTCCCCTTTGATTTACTGTCCTTATTGAGACACTTTGTGGCCCTCTCATCTGTCAGGAGTGTGCCTTCTCTATCATAGTCAAAGCCCCATTCACTCTCTCTCTGACTGTCTTTCCTAAGGAACAATGCTACTGGGGTGCTCCAAGCTGTCACATGAGTGGGGGTCGATGCAGGTGGTGGAGAGAATGGGGATGATCAAAGTGAAGTGGTAACTCAAAATCGGGGTGTGTGGAAATGCAATCAGAAGTTAGCACTTGTTCTAGAATAGCCTCTGGCCGGGTGTCAGTGTGCCGACTGCAGCACGAATTTCCACACAGAGCGACCACCTTGCACCTTGACCTTCCTCTCACTCGCCCCCCCTCACCTCCCACATGGACAACTTCACCTGGCCTAGGACCATTTAAAGCTCCTTTCAATGGCTTTTTGTCCCCTGGGCCGTGCTCTTTCTCTGTTCCATTCATCTGGATACCTCTCTCTGGCCCTCCACTTCCCAATCCCCTGCAGCTTTCCTGGAGAATCTCCTGGCTTGCACATGGCTGAGTGAGTGATGCTCATCTAGGTGGCTGTGGTGGTTGGCCACTGTCAGTGGTTTTGGAGGTCTCATACCCCACAGGCTGCTTTGTGGCCCCAGGCCGTAAGCGCAGGGCACCAGCCTTATTTTCTCACGTGTGACTCACCTAACTGAGGATTGCAGTTCTCACTCACATCCATGGGTCCAATTTTCCGGGTGCCATTGAGCAGGTTGCAACCTGGCTGGGGCATGCAACCCCCCACCCTCAGACTGGTGATGATCTCCCCTAGGAGAGGATGAGATGGGAAGAGACAGACACTGACACAGGATCAAGCAAGCCTCAGAGGCAAGCCCAGCCCCAGGAGGCCAGCCTCACCCTCCTTTGAGTCTTATTCCCCGCTTCAGCTGACCTTTCCCCCACAGATTCCCAAATCTCCACCGATAGCCCATCTTGTCCAAGCCCCACAGGGACTCCATGTCCAGGCTCACCTCCCATGACCCTGAGGACTCCACTGTAACAGGCTGTGCTGCCTGCTGGGCAGACTTGCTCAGATGCTTCGTCACAGCCTTTGGTAGAAAGGCAGCGTGGGCAGCGCAGGGTCCCTGGGGCTGAGAGGTGACAGACATAGGGAGGGCTCTGGGTTGGGATCAGATACCTTCCAACTTCTCTCAGACTCCCCAGTAAACCCTCCCGGGGCTCCTCTCGTTTATCCAGCTGTAGGGAACTGGAACCTGTGACTAGACCGGTGAGGGGCTGGAGAGGTGGCTCAGTGGTTAAGAGCACTGACTGCTCTTGCAGGGGACCTGGGTTCAGTATCCAGAACCCACATGGAGGTTAATAACAATCTTTAACTCCAGTTCTAGGGAGTCTGATGCCCTCTTCTGGCCTCCATGAGCATTGCATGCATGGGGTGCACTTACATGCAGGTAAAACACTCATACACATAAAACAAAAAGAAAAAAATTAAAATTAAAAAGACAAGAGAGATATGCAAAGGAAAAGCACAGGGCAGAGTGTAGGAGGGGTCTGGGACTGAGGTAAGGGGACCTCTGGGGCTAGACACAGAATTAGTCAAGTAAGGGAAGCTGGGGGGGGTGGGGCTGGAAAGAACCAGTGACTGACTTGTGCCAACAGCTTTTACTAAACATCAGAGAAAGACATGTCTGGTCACAAAATAGTCCAGAACACAGAAACACTGAGCGTGGCCCTAACAGTTTAATGCCAGGAAAGGAGAGTAGAAAGTCATAGACCGGTGTCCAGTAGGAAGACAAAAAGGAAAAGCCCTAATAAGAACCCCGCTATACAGAGAGATGAGCTGTGCAGGAAGAGCAGAGATGCTCAGGGCCAGAGTGTGAGGCTGGTGGTTCATCAGAAAGTCCAGCCAGGGGGCTGGCGAGGTGGCTCAGTGGGTAAAGGCGTTTGCCACCAAGTCTGACAATCCAGGACCCACATGGTGGAAGGAGAGAACTGACTTCTGAAAATTGTCCTCTGATTTCCACATGTACACTGTAGTGCCTGTTTACACACACACACACACACACACACACACACACACACTCACTCACATTAAATAAAATAAATGAAAAAACCCCCAAACTCCATTCAGGATTGTTGGAAGAGGCCAGCCAGGGGAGTTTGGAGTTCTTGTGGACCGCAGGGTGAAGAGGAGAGAGTTCAGGAGAGGTGGAGGGGGAGGGACCACGAGGCAGGGCGGGAGTGCAGGACAGACCTGGGAACAAGGAGCATGGAACAAGGTGGAGGGAGAGAGCCAGACATCTACTCTACAGCAAGGGAGAGTCTATAAATTAACACCCCCCACCCCCGTGCTTACCTCCACCCCCCGAATTCTTCCTTTCTTTCTCCCAGCATCCCTCTTCCCCCTAATGCCCCGCCTCTCCAAGGCACCTGATGCAGGGGGTGGGGCCCAGAGAGGGGCTGTAGTGGACAGATAATTGCAGAGGTCCTCCTGGCGGCACACGCGGGTGTAGGAGATGACGGACAGCCCGGGGCCTGTCCTGTGCTCGGTGACTCTGGCCTTGTGGTCCTGGATGCTAGTGCAGCCCTTTGTGAGCACCAAGCTCACTTGCTGTCCTGGACAGAGAGAAGGGGGCAGGCTGGAGTGGAGGTTGGGACTCTAGTCTCCTAGAGGGAGACTGGGCATACTGAAGAGGGTGAGCTGATGGAGGGGAGGGGGCTGAGATCAGCAGGATTGCTCCTGCTGAAGAGGTGTGCTGGATGGCTTCCTTTGTCAACTTGGCACACCTGGGACAAGGGAACCTCAACTGGGAAACTTCCTCTATTGGATTGGCCTGTGTCTGTGTCTGTGAAGCATTTTCTTGATTGTTGAGTGATGTGTTGGGCTCAGCCCACTGTGTCATCCCTGGGCAGATGGTTCTGGGCTGTATAAGAAAGCAGGTTGAGCACGGGCCAGGGGAGCAAGCTAGTTAGCAGTGTTAAACGTTCCTCCATGGTCTGTGCTTCAGCACCTGCCTCCAGGTTCCTGCCTTGAGTTCCTGTCCTGACTTCCCTCAGGGGTGGACTGTCATTTGAAATGATAAGATGCAATAAACCTTTTCCTCCAGTGGCTTTTGGTCATGGTGTTTTATCACAGCAACAGAAAGTAGCTTGAACAGGAGGGGACCAACTCTTGGTACTTGGAGAGGGGCCTCCAGTACCCCCTTACCAGATAATGGGAGTGGGGCTAAGGGCAGGTCTTTGCATGGAGAGGCCCTTCTCACCAGTTTCAACCATCATCAGTGTGTCTTGGCAACCTTCGCCAACCTCACAGGTCACCTGGCCAGCTGTCCACTGGAGAGGGAGCTCGGATATCTCCCTTATGGTCACTAATGTCCCATGTTGGCATTTCAGGGCCTTTGAAACTAGAAAAAGGACAGTAAATCCATCTAAATACAAGTCCCAAATCCATATCTTGGGAGAGCCTCCCTGCTCAGAGGGGTCTTATTCACAGGCAGTAACAAGTGGACCCTTCCAGAATCTTCTCTATGCTGCATAAGACAGAAAACCTTGGTGTTGGTAACATCCCAGCCCATGCCCTCAAGCTTCCTGGTCTAGTTGGGGGAAGAAAGATCCAACTTGCAGAGTAATGCTTGCTGACCTCACTCAACTCTCTCTTTGAAGCTCTAAGGCTAGAGAAACAGGCAGAGGAGGAAACTGAGGTGGGGACAGAGGTGATCTGCTTCCAGTGGAGCCAGGATCCCTATTGGAGCTCCCTCCCCCTCTACTCTGTAGAGTACTGAGGCATCCCAGGATGCTTTTTCCCCACCCAGTGTGTCACAGTTTGAATGCATTTAAGTACATCTGTGGGGATACCCCCAGTCCCCATTTAACTCCTGCCTTCTGCATCACACCTAAAGCACCCCTGATTTTCTCTGATTTTTATTATTGTGAAGCAAGGCCACAAACAAAGGGGGGCTTTGGTACTGTGGGTATGGATACAGATGGATGAGAGAATAGGGTGTGCCAAAGACCCAGCATTGTCCAAGTTCAAGGTGTGTGGAGATGCATGTGATATATATATACACAATAAAGGTTTTTCCTTTCTCTTTTTTCTTTGAGGCAGGGTCTCACATAGCTCAGGTTGGCCTTAAGCTTGCTCTGTAGCTATGAACAACCTTGAACTTCTCATTCTTCTACCTCTACCTCCCAAGTGTTGGGATGACAGGCATGTGCCACTATGCCCAGTGCTGGGGATGGAACCCAGGGCCTTATGTACGCTAGGCAAGAAATCTGCTAACTGAGTTACAGCCCCAGCCCCGCATAGCAGTTTTCAAAACAGTTTAGTGTAGGAGGCTGGAGAGAGGACTCAGCGGTTAAGAGTATTGGCTGCTCTTGCAGAGGACCTGGGTTCGAGTCCCAGCACCCACATGGTGGCTAACAACCATCTATAAGGGGAATCTGATACCCTCTTCTGACCTCCTTGGGCATTGTGCGACATGGGTGCACTTATACACTTGCAGGCAATACACTCATATACATAAAAAAATTTAGTGTGTGCACGCACATGCATGTCGTGTGTGTGTGCCACAGCATGTGTGTGGAAGTCACAGGACAACTTATTCTCTCCTTCTACCCTGTAGGCTCCTGGGATTGAACTCAGGTCATCAGACTTGGCAGCAAGCACCCTTACCCACTGAGCCATCTTGGCGGCCCACAGTGGAGTTTTATTCAGTCATAAAGAATGAAATCATGTCAGTTGCAGAAAAACAGATGGATTTGAAAATAATCACATCAAATGAAATAAGCCCAACTCAGAAATGCAAATATCTGTATTTTCTCTCATATATTTGAGTCTAAATATGCATGTATATGACACGAAGTAGAAGGGAAGAGGGGACAGACGAGGATGATGGGGGGGATCAAAGTACATGGCATTGTTGAATGAGAATGCCATTATGAAGCCCATCACTGCATAACAAACACATGCTAATAATATATTTAAATATTCCAGTCATATGCAAGCACTCTTTCCCAGACTGACCCCTGCCAGGTGTCAGTGCACTGACAGCAGCATGAATTCCAACAGAGAGTGGCCACCTTGCACCCCGACCTTCCTCCCACTCACACAGACAGGCCACCCAAGTTCACTTGGCCCAGAATTATTTAAAACTCCCCTCAGTGGGCTCTTGTCCCCTGAGTCATACTCCCTCTCTCCTTCATCTGGACACAACTTTCCCTGACCTTACACCTCCCCAGGCACCCCTGCAGCCTCCCTGGAGAATCTCCTGGCTTGTACAAGTCTAAATGAGTGATGCTCATTAAAATGTCTGGGATGGCTGGCCTCTGTTAATGGCTTTGGGTGTCCCATACCCCACAAGGATCTGCTTGTCCGAGGCTGCAGTCAGTGCAGGGTGCTCATTCAGAGCCTTTCCACTGCCCTCACTCTGTCCGTCACTTCCCAGGCCCCTGGATTCTAAGCTGCCCACTTTGTTTTCCCCATGTGACTCACCTAACTGAGGACTGCAGTTCTCATTCACATCTATGGGTCCGATCGTCTGAGTGCCATTGAGCAAGTTGCAGCCTGGCTGGGGCATGCAGCCCTGTACCCTCAGATCAGTGAAGATCCCTCCTAGGAAAGGAGGAGTTGGTGCTGACACAAAGACCATCCAAATGGTCCTCAGAGGCAAGCCCAGCTCCAGGAGCCTGGCCCCAGCCTGCTCTAGATATAGGGATCTTGGCATCCAGGCTCACCTCCCCTGAGCTCGACGAGTCCATTGTAGCAGTCTGTGCTGCCTGTAGGGCAGACCTGCTCAGGTGGATTCTTAGGACAGTCATCCTTAGAAAGGCAGAGTGGGCAGCTCAGAGTCCCGGTGCCTGGGAAGTGATGGACACAGTGAGGGGCAGTGGAAAGGCTCTGAGTGAGCATCTGATGCCTTCGGTCTCCAACACCATGCTGGCTCTAAGAATGAAGTTACTCAGTACCCCCAGCACGCTCCTTTCCTGCAAACTTAGCTGTAGGCCATTCAGGCTGTGTCCTGGTGAGCTGCTGGATAGAGACCAGGACAACAATAACAACAACAAAGCCAAGATGGATGGCTTCTGAGGAATGGCTTTGTCCTCTGGCTTCCACACATGTACATGTATGCATTTGCAAACACACATGGGCACATGCACACACAAGAAAATCTCCCAGTTCACTGCTCTGTGACTATGGGAGGAATTGGGCCAGGGGAGTTCAGAGATGTTGATTACAGGGCTTGTGGGAGGGAGGGAGGAGGGAGCGCGGAAGAGATAGAAAGGGAGGGACTAGGGAAAGGAGTCTGGGAAGAAGCAAGCGGTCAAAGGTGGGGATTGAGCCAGTGAGCCAGCAAGGGAGTATCTATAAATTAACAGCCCCTTTGTGCTCCCTGGAGCCCCACAGCTCTGCCCTCCTTCACCCTTCCTGTTGAGTCTCCACCTCCCATGATCCCACCGCCCTGTAGCACCTGTGACAGGGGGAGGGATCCAGAGAACGTCCGTGGAAGACAGATCATTGCAGAAATCCCTGCTTCGGCACACGTGGGTGTAGGAGGTGATGGAGAGCCCGGGGCCTGTTCTGTGCTGGGTGAGTCGGGGCTTTTGGTCTCTATCCCTGGTGCAGCCCTTGGTCATCACGAAGTTCACTTCTGGTCCTAGAAGGAGAGAGGGAGACAGGCAGGGGCAGAGATGAGGGAGGATTGCAGACTCTTGGTTGGATGTTGCAACCTCAGGAAGATGGGTGGGATGCTGGCGGTGAGATGGGGTTATATTTGCTGAGGAAGGAATCTTGGTTCTGGGGTGTGGTTTCAGAGTCCCGAGGGAGAACTCTGGGGGTGGGGCTGAGCCCAAGGGGCGGGATCTTAGAGTTAAGGCTCTCCTCACCGTTTTGTATGAGCACCATGGTTTCCTGGCAGCCCTCGCCAATCTTACACGTTTGCCAACTCGTTGTCCAGTGCAGGGGCAGCTTTGACAATTTTATCACTACTTCTAGTTTTCCACTCTTGCATTCCAGCGCCTGCGGGCCTAGGATAGGAAAAGCAAGTTCAAAATAGAGGGTCTCCCAGCTTGACCCTCTATAGGGTTACCGTCTTCCACTTCAGACCTAAGTAGGCAGCAGCAAGTTAACCACTTGTCCTTAGCTGTCTCTGTGCCACAGGGGGCAGTGACACCCAACCCAAGGCCTCAAGTCTCCCAGGCTAGTTGGGCAGACAGATTAAAACACAAACAGGGGTCAGCAAGATGGCTCAGTGGGCTAGACACTTGCCACCAAATCTGACAACCCAAATTCCTGAGTTCCATCCCCGGGTTTCACAAAGTGGAAGGAGAAAAACGACTCCCAAAAGTTGTCCTCTGATCTCCTCATGTGTGCTGTGACACACATGCACCCACAAACATACATGAACACACACAAATAAATGTAATAAAGTAAACAAAACACAAACAGGACATTTGGAGGAATCCACTCAACTCTCTACTTAAAATTTTTATTTGTGTGTGTGTATACATGAGTGACCGTGGGTATGTATACGTGTGCGTGCGTGCATGTGGAGGCCAGAGGTTGATCTTGGGTCTTCTAGGACCATTTTCACCTTATCTTTTGATGCAGGGACTCTCACTGAACCCAGAATCACTGAATAACCAGACTGGCTACCCAGAGTGCTCTGAGGACTCTCCTGTCTCTGGCTCCCCCGCTCTTAAGTCCAGCACTAAGGTTACAAATATGTAACTACATGGGGCTTTTTACATGTGTGCTGGAGATCCAAACTTTATTCTTCATGCTTGGGTGTCAAGCACTTTCCCAACTGAGCCATCTCCCCAGACCCCTCATCTCTCTCCTTGAAGCTCTAAGAGTTAAAATGATACATACAGATTAGGAAACTGAGGCACAGGCAGATAAGACCATGAACCTAGGAAAGATAAGGTTCCTAATCCATTTTCCACCTCTTCTTTTCCCCTCATAGTCCTTCTTACTGAGAAACTCCACAGCCATCTCCATCCGTCATGTGCGTGCCTTGCGGGTATATAAGCACCCAAGTGGGGACACTCCCAAAGTCTCTACTAAACTCTTCAATCATCTGTCACGCCTGTCACTCTCTACATTCTCTCTCTCTCTGATTTTCTTTCCTATGGAGCAAGGCCACTGGGGTGATCCCGCATCACAGATGACGATGCGGTGAAAGTAGTGGAGAGATTGGGGGTGACCACAGGGAAGTGAGACCCAGGGTAACCCAAGGTTGGGGAGTGTCGAATTGGGGGAAAAAAACCCCAAGAATTCCCAGAAAGACAGCCAGCAGACAGCTGGCTCTGTGTGTAAAGAGATAAAAGAAGCACCTAGAACATTCCTAACCCATTGGATCTAGCCCCTTGGGCAGGCCACCCACGGTCACTTGGTCCGGAATTATTTAAAGCTCCGCCTGATGAGCTCTTGTCTCCTGGGCCAGCTGGAGACCTATCACTGGTCCTCCACCTCCCAATCCGCTGCAGCCTCCCTGGAGAATCTCCTGTCTTACACAGGACTGAGCGAGGCAGCTAGCCTCTGGGGATGTCCCACACCCCGTAAGGATCTTCTTGCTCCAAGGTTGCAGTGTAGGGTGTGGCCTCCTTTTCAGGCTTAGGACTCACCAGATCCAGGGTTGCAGTTCTCACTCACGTCTATGCGTCCAATTGTCTGTGTGCCATTGAGCACGTTGCAGCCTGACTGGGACATGCACCCCTGTATCCTTAGATTGCTGGAGAGGCCCACTAGTAAAGGAGAAAATGCGGAGAGACAGAGATACTGACACAAGAACCACGCAAGCCTCACAGTCAAGCCCAGCTCTGGGAGGCTGGCCCCGCCCTCTTCAGAGTCTGACACCCTGCCTCAGTTTACCCTCCTGCCACAGACACCACATTACAATGCACGGTCTTCCTCATCCACTCCTACAGTGACCCTATGTCTGGGCTTACCTCCCCTCAGCTTGAGGATTCCACTGTAGCAGTGTGTGCCTGCAGGGCAGACCTCTGGGACATTGTCACAGCCATGTGTAGAGAGGCAGTGTGGGCAGCGCAGGGTCCCTGGGGCTGGAGAAGACAGAGTGAGCGGCAGTGGGAGGGCTCTGGGCTTGGAGAAGATGCTTTCCAACCTCTCTCAGTCCTTCCAACATGCCTCGTCTCCCCATGCAAGCCCAGTATGGAATTCGGTTTGTGGTCTAATAGCTGAGCAAAGCCAGAGGGTGGGGGAGACCTGCAGAGACCCAGGGGCGGAGGGCAGCAGAGGTCTGTTTCCCAGGTGAAATCTGGGGAGGAACTGGATAGAGACAAGAACTTGGACAAGGGAGAGTGAGGGTACCCCAGTGGCTTTCCTCACAACTTCTATTAAACAACTACAAGAGAGAAAAAGTCCTGTTCTCAAACTATTCAAGAGTAGAGAAACAGAAAGCATCACCTCAAACTGTGTATAACACCAGGCAAGGAAAATGGAATGCTCCAGGACAATGTTCAATAGAAATAAGAAATACAAAATGGAGAAATAGAGATGTCAGGGAACCAAATCGAGCCACAGAGAAAAAAGCACTGGGCAGGAAGAGCAGGGTGGGAGCATGGCCTGAGGTTGGTGGTTCAGGATCGGAAAATCCACCCTGTTCTCTGTTCCAGGATTGTTGGAAGAAGTGTCCAGGGGAGTTATGAGGTTCAAACAGAGGGTAGTGGGAAGGATCCAGGGAAGGAGTGCAGAAAGGACTGACCTAGCATGCACAAGGACCCGGGTTCTATCCCCAGCACCCTCAAGAATAAAGAATAATACAATAAAATAAACAACCCATGTGTGCTCCCTTCTCCCCATAGTCCTGTCCTTCTTCCTCTAGACAGTCCCTTCCCTCTCCCCTCTAGGAGTATGCCCTCTCTGGCACCTGTGACAGGGGGCGGGATCCATATAGTCTCAGTGCTAGACAGGTCATTACAGAAGTCTTCATGGCGGCACACGTGGGTATAGGAGATGATGGAGATTCCGGGGCCTGTCCTGTGCCTGGTGATTTGAGGCTCTTTGTTTATAGCCGTGGTACATCCTTTTGTGACCACCAAGTTGAGTTCTTGTCCTGGAAAGAGAGAGGGTAGCTACTGGGTGTGCAGGATACTTATGCAGGAATTTCTGGTGTAGACCTCCCCTGTCCTAAAAGGAGGTGGGTTAGATGCTGGAGAGGAGGGGACTGGGCACAGGAGGGGTGCACCTGCTCAGGAGGGGGCCTGGGTGTGGGGGGGGGGGCTTGTGGTATCTGTCCTGGGATGCTGTGGGTGGCTGATTGAGAAGGGGTGGGGTCTCCAGCTGAGGGCTCTTTCTTACCATTCTGAATCAGAATCACTGTTTCGTAGCATCCCTCGCCAATCTCACAGGTATTCCAGCCAGTGGTCCAAACCAGGTGCAGATCTGATACATTCTTTATGGTGTCTAAGGACCCACTCCTGCAGTCCAGTGCCTGAGAACCTGCACAGGGAGAGAAAATCCATCTCAACAGTGTCCCTAGCCCCATGTCCAGGGAAATCCCTTCCTGGTGGGGCACACATCACAGGCAGTAACAGGTTGATCTTTTCATGGACCATCTCTTGGACTACAGGAGGAAGGAAGCCTTAGTGCCATCCAGCCCGTGTCCTCAGGCCTTTCCATTTAGTTGGATAAAAAGACCAACATAGGTTCAGGAGACGTGGCTCAGTTGGTATAGTCTTTGCCATGCAAGTCTGAGTCCCGATTCCCAGCCCAAATGGCAGACACTGGCAGTATGGTACCCCGCAATCTTAGTGCTGGAGAGAGGCAGATCCCTAGAGATCTCTGGCCATTCGAATCAGTGAGCTCCAGGTTGAGTGAAAGACCCTGTCTCAAAAAATAAGGTGGCAGGGGCTGGAGAGATGGTTCAGTGCTTAAGAGCACTGGCTGCTCTTGCAGAGGACCCTGGTCTTGTTGCCAGGACCCCCAAGGCAGCTAACAACCATCTGTAACTACAGTTCCAGGGGATCCAATGCCCTCTTCTGACCTCTGAGGGCATTACAGGACACAGGTGCACCCTGACCTTTCTCTTCCTCACGTTGGACTTCCTCTTAGACTGACCCTCACACCCAGGTGGCCCAGGATCAGTCAAGGCTTCTGCTGTTCTGCCTCTGTCCTTTGGTTCTGAGTCTTGCCCACGCTTCATCTCTTCCTCGATCCTTTAGTTGGACATCTCTGGCAGACACAGTATTCTTCAACCCTCTACTCACCCACACAGAGTTTTTGTACTCCTAGAGTGTCTGGTTAACGTCAAAAATCTCTTGGTTTGGTCTTGGTTGATAGCTTTGGGTGTCCCTCACTCTTCAAGGATCATGTTACCCCAAGGTTGCAGTTCAGGGTGGGGTCTTGTTTTCCTGAGTGAAACTCACCTAATTGAAGACCACAGTTCTCACTCACATCCATGATCCCAAAGTTCTTGGTGCCATTAAGCAGGTTGCACCCTGGTTTGGGCATGCAGCCCTGAACCATCAGATTGGTGGTGATCTTCCCTAGGAAACCAGTATGGCTTCATCTATTCCCCAATTGTATTTTTAGAGACAAAAATCACAGTCTGGGAGAATAAATGAGAGAGAGAGAGAGAGAGAGAGAGAGAGAGAGAGAGAGAGAGAGAGAGAGGCTTAAATAGGGCCATCAGCTCTGGGTCTCTGGGTTTTATGCCCAGCCTCAGTGTCTCTGAACACTCAGGTTTCACTCCCACTTTGGCAGGAACCCCCATGTCCAGGCTTACCTCCCCTGAGCCTGAGGACTCCCTTGTAACAGTATGAGGTGCCTGCAGGGCAGACCTGCTCCGGTGCGTTGTCACAGCCATGTGTAGAGAGGCAGTGTGGACATCGCAGCGTGCCTGGGACTGTAGAAGACAGACACAGTGAGGGACAGCGGGACAGCTCAGGGTTTGGATAAGAGGTCTTCCAACCTCTCTAAATTCCTCCAACATGCCTCAGTGTCCCAATGCAGGCCCACATGCAAGGAATTTGGACTGTGGCTTAATAGGTGAGCAAAGCCAGAGGGTGCATTGAGTTATGGAGACCTGGGGCTGAGGGCAGCAGAGGTATGGCTTCCCTGGTGGAATTTGAGGCTGAACAGAGACGTGGACTTGGTCAAGGAAGGGTTGGATACCCCAGAAAGAATCAGTGGCTTACTCCAAACTTCTATTAAGGAACCATGGAAGAGAAAAAGTCCTGTTTTCAAGATGCTGCAGAGTAGAGAAACAGAAAGCATCGCCTCAAACTGTGTATAACACCAGGCAAGAAAAATGGAATGTTCCAGGACAATGTTCAGTAGAAAGAGGAAATACAAAATGGAGAAATAGAGACATCAGGGAACCAAATTGAGCCACAGAGAAAAAAGCGCTGGGCAGGAAGAGCAGGGTGGGAGCATGGCCTGAGGTTGGTGGTTCAGCATCGGAAAATCCACCCAGTTCTCTGTTCCAGGATTGTTGGAAGAAGTGTCCAGGGGAGTTATGAGGTTCAAACAGAGGGTAGTGGGAAGGATCCAGGGAAGGAGTGCAGAAAGGACTGACCTAGCATGCACAAGGACCCGGGTTCTATCCCCAGCACCCTCAAGAATAAAGAATAATACAATAAAATAAACAACCCATGTGTGCTCCCTTCTCCCCATAGTCCTGTCCTTCTTCCTCTAGACAGTCCCTTCCCTCTCCCTCTAGGAGTATGCCCTCTCTGGCACCTGTGACAGGGGGTGGGATCCATATAGTCTCAGTGCTAGACAGGTCATTACAGAAGTCTTCATGGCGGCACACGTGGGTATAGGAGATGATGGAGATTCCGGGGCCTGTCCTGTGCCTGGTGATTTGAGGCTCTTTGTTTATAGCCGTGGTACATCCTTTTGTGACCACCAAGTTGAGTTCTTGTCCTGGAAAGAGAGAGGGTAGCTACTGGGTGTGTAGGATACTTATGCAGGAATTTCTGGTGTAGACCTCCCCTGTCCTAAAAGGAGGTGGGTTAGATGCTGGAGAGGAGGGGACTGGGCACAGGAGGGGTGCACCTGCTCAGGAGGGGGCCTGGATACTGGTGATGTGTGTGTGTGTGGGCTTGTGGTGTCTGTCCTGGGATGCTGTGGGTGGCTGATTGAGAAGGGGTGGGGTCTCCAGCTGAGGGCTCTTTCTTACCATTCTGAATCAGAATCACTGTTTCGTAGCATCCCTCGCCAATCTCACAGGTATTCCAGCCAGTGGTCCAAACCAGGTGCAGATCTGATACATTCTTTATGGTGTCTAAGGACCCACTCCTGCAGTCCAGTGCCTGAGAACCTGCACAGGGAGAGAAAATCCATCTCAACAGTGTCCCTAGCCCCATGTCCAGGGAAATCCCTTCCTGGTGGGGCACACATCACAGGCAGTAACAGGTTGATCTTTTCATGGACCATCTCTTGGACTACAGGAGGAAGGAAGCCTTAGTGCCATCCAGCCCGTGTCCTCAGGCCTTTCCATTTAGTTGGATAAAAAGACCAACATAGGTTCAGGAGACGTGGCTCAGTTGGTATAGTCTTTGCCATGCAAGTCTGAGTCCCGATTCCCAGCCCAAATGGCAGACACTGGCAGTATGGTACCCCGCAATCTTAGTGCTGGAGAGAGGCAGATCCCTAGAGATCTCTGGCCATTCGAATCAGTGAGCTCCAGGTTGAGTGAAAGACCCTGTCTCAAAAAATAAGGTGGCAGGGGCTGGAGAGATGGTTCAGTGCTTAAGAGCACTGGCTGCTCTTGCAGAGGACCCTGGTCTTGTTGCCAGGACCCCCAAGGCAGCTAACAACCATCTGTAACTACAGTTCCAGGGGATCCAATGCCCTCTTCTGACCTCTGAGGGCATTACAGGACACAGGTGCACCCTGACCTTTCTCTTCCTCACGTTGGACTTCCTCTTAGACTGACCCTCACACCCAGGTGGCCCAGGATCAGTCAAGGCTTCTGCTGTTCTGCCTCTGTCCTTTGGTTCTGAGTCTTGCCCACGCTTCATCTCTTCCTCGATCCTTTAGTTGGACATCTCTGGCAGACACAGTATTCTTCAACCCTCTACTCACCCACACAGAGTTTTTGTACTCCTAGAGTGTCTGGTTAACGTCAAAAATCTCTTGGTTTGGTCTTGGTTGATAGCTTTGGGTGTCCCTCACTCTTCAAGGATCATGTTACCCCAAGGTTGCAGTTCAGGGTGGGGTCTTGTTTTCCTGAGTGAAACTCACCTAATTGAAGACCACAGTTCTCACTCACATCCATGATCCCAAAGTTCTTGGTGCCATTAAGCAGGTTGCACCCTGGTTTGGGCATGCAGCCCTGAACCATCAGATTGGTGGTGATCTTCCCTAGGAAACCCTCTCACACATTCATGGACACATAACAAACATATACTGTACATGTACACATATACACACTAAAAAACTTCTGAGAGTCGGGCATGGTGGCATACATCTTTAATCGGGCTCAGCAGTTAAGAGCACTGGCTGCTCTTGCAGAGGGCCCCGTTCAGTTCCCAGCACCCACATGGCAGCTAACAACCACCTGTAACTTACAGTTCCAGGGGATCCAACTCCCTGTTCGGACATCCATGGGTATTAGACAACACAGGTGCACTTATATGCTTGTAGACAATACCCTCATATACATACAATAAATTAAAAATAATAACAAAAGGAAGACAGCTGACCTGGACCTCTGGCCTTCACATGCATGTTTACATACATGCATACACCCTCTCACACATTCATGGACACATAACAAACATATACTGTACATGTACACACATACACACTAAAAAACTTCTGAGAGCCGGGCATGGTGGCATACATCTTTAATCCCAGCACTCAGGAAGTAGAGGCAGGCAGATCGCTGTTCGTTCCAGGCTAGCCTGGTCTACATGGAGAGTTCCAGGCCAGCCAGGACTACAAAGTGAGACCCTGTTAGAGAAAACTAAGGAAGTTCACAAAAAATAACAAAAACAACCCAGAAGAAACAAAACAAAATGCTCCCAGTCCCATAAAACTCCCCAAAAGAATAAGAAAACCTTCTGGGAGACCAAGCACCCCAGGGTCACGGGGACATAGAAACAGGACTAGAGGCAAACAGTCTCCCTCAGCGAGAAAACTAGCACGTGGTTCTGAACTGACTGCTGCAACAAATCAGATGCAGGGAAACTGGCCTCTCACCCTGACCTTTCTCCTCCTCACGTTGGACTTCCTCTTAGACTGACCCCCACACCCAGGTGGCCCAGGATCACTCAAGGCTTCTGCTGTTCTGCCTCTGTCCTTTGGTTCCGAGTCTTGCCCATGCTGCATCTCTTCATCGATCCTTTAGTTGGACATCTCTGGCAGACACAGTGTTCTCTAACCCTCTACCCACCCACACAGAGATTTCCCTCAAAGTCTATGTATGGCTGGGCTTGGTTGATGGCTTTTGGTGTCCCTTAGTCTACGAGGATCGTCTTGCCCGGAGGCTTCAGTGCAGGACCTGAGCCTCATTTTCCCAAGTGGGACTCACCTAACTGAAGATCACAGTTCTCACTCACATCCATTGTACCAATTTTCTGGGTGCCGTTAAGCAGGTTGCATCCTGGTTTGGGCATGCAGCCCTGCACCCTTAGGTTGGTGGTGATCTTCCCTAGGAAAAGAATAGACAGAAAGTGGGGGGGAGGGAGGAGGAGAGGGAGACAGAGAGGGGGAGAGAGAGGCTTAAATAGGGTCATCCAAGTCAGAGTCAAGTCCAGCTCCGTTCTCCTCTCCTCTGGGTTCTATGCCCAGCCTCAGTTTACCCTTGGTCTCTGGACACTCAGATCTCAATGCGAAATTCACTCCTGCTCCTGCAGGGACCCCCATATCCAGGCTTACCTCCCCTGAGCCTGAGGACTCCGTCGTAGCAGTGTGAGGTGCCTGCAGGGCAGAGCTGCTCAGGTGCATTGTCACAGCCATGTGTAGAGAGGCAGTGTGGGCAGCGCAGGGTCCCTGGGACTGTAGAAAACAGACACAGTGAGAGGCAGTGCTGAACTCTGGGTTTGGTTCAGATGCCTGTCTCCCTCTTAGCCCCTACAGTATGCCCCAGTTCCCCCAACATGCCCTTCCTGAGGCTCCTCTCTCACAGGTCCAGCTGCAGGAAATTCAGGCTGTGTTCTAGTGGCCAGGAGCAAAGCTGGAGGGAAGATGTGCAGAAACCTGGGGCTGAGTGCAGGATGGTGCTGGGACTGAGGGAGGGATGTGGGAGGGACTTCCGTTGCACTAGACACAGACCATGACTTGGCCAAAGGAAGGCGGGGATGCCCTAAAAGGAATCAGTGGCTTTATCCACAACCTCTACTAAACAATGAGAGAAATAAAAATGTTTATCAGATATTCCAGAAAATCATTGCCCTAATTAATGTTTAACACCAGGCAAGGGAAATGAAAAGCTATTCACAGGGCTGGGGAGATCGCTCATTCAATTAAGTGTTTGCCTTACAGCATGAGGATTTGAGTTCAATCTCCAGAAGCCATATATAAAACCCAGCATGGTGCCCCATTTATAACCTCAGGGCTTGGGAGGAAGAGACTAGTGGATTCCTGGGGCTTGTTGGCCAACCGGCTTAGCCTAACCGGCAAGCTCCAGGGTCCAATGAATGATCTTTTCTCAAAAAACAACAATAAAAGCCAAAAACCAAGGTGAATGGTTCCTGAGGAGTGACTTCTGGCATCCACACACATGCACACACACACGTGTACCTGCACACACATGAATATATTGGCGAGCTTATACCCTCACAAAACCAATCAACCAACCAACCAACCAAAAAAGTTATAGGTTTGTGTTCCTCAGGAAAATGAAATCCAAAAACTCTGTGTGAAACCCTGTGTGAAATGTCAGTGAACCCATCCCCTCTGCACAGAAAGAAGGGGTACACAGGAAGACTCAATCAACAAACCAACCAACCAAAAAAGTTATAGGTTTGTGTTCCTCAGGAAAATGAAATCCAAAAACTCTGTGTGAAACCCTGTGTGAAATGTCAGTGAACCCATCCCCTCTGCACAGAAAGAAGGGGTACACAGGAAGACTGGGGTTTGGGAATGGGGCCAGAGTCAAAGGTTGGTGGTTCAACATCAGATGATACAACCAGCTCATGACTCCAACACTGTTGGAAAAAGTTGGCAAGGGCATCGTAAGGTACCTGTGGACAGTGAAGGATGGATGGAGGAGAGGAGAAGAGGAGACTGAGTTACTCAGAAGAGGGAAAGGGAATAGGTATGCAGTTAAGGGTGGGGAAAGCCAGTGAGCCAGCTCGACTTCCTTCCTGCAAGGGAGTGTTATAAACAAACACTCCTGTGTGCTTACTTCTATCCCACAGCTGCACCTCATCCTCCTTCCTCATGACAGCCCCTTCCTTCCCTTCCTGCTGTCCTTCCTCCCTGTGGTACCTGTGGGTGTGGGCAGGTCCCCAAGAACTTCAGAGCTAGACAGGTCATTGCAGAAGTCACTATGGTGACACACATGGGTGTAGGAGACGATGGAAAGCCCAGGACCTGTCCGATGCCAGGTGACCTGGGGCTTTTGGTCCATAGCCTTAACGCAGCCCTTGACAACCAAGAAGTTTATTTGAGGTCCTGGATGGAGAGAGCGAGGCAGGTAGAGGAGGAGATTGGGACTCTAGGGTCTTAAGGATGAGTGAGATGCTGGAGAGGAGGGGGCTGGGCATGGATGGGTTGCACCTGCTGATAGGGAGGTTTTCCTTCAGAGGATGCAGGATGCTTGTGAGTAGTGAGGTGGAGGGGATAGGGCCGCCTCTGCATGGAGGCCCGATCTCACCATTCTGTATGAGCATCATCTGATCCTGGCAACCCTCGCCGGTCTCACAGGCTTCTGTGCCGGCTGTCCACTTGAGGGGCAGCTTGGATGCATCCTTCACCGTCTCTATTTTCCCACTCTGGCAGTTAAGAGCCTGTACACCTGGCATAAGGAGAACGGTTCCATTTTAGCAGGTTGCCTTGTTCCTCTTCCTCAGATGACGTCCCCTTCCCAGCTGATGTTTTCACTCACAGGGCAGCAAAGTGATGACTGCCAGGAGGGTCAGCACTAGTGCAGGGCTCATGGCCAGTCTGTGGCTGGAAATTCCCCTTGTGCTCTTTAACCAGGAAATGTAGCCCTTTTATACCCTGTATTGCCTAAGGCAGCCCAGGAAGCGGGGTGGGGTGGGGGGTGGTTGCTATACAAACCCTGGGCCCCACCCTGAGTCTCCACTGCATGAAAGCTTAGGGTATCTGGATGGTCTGTCTTCCCTAAGACTCAAGGGCCTAGACCCAGTCCTTCTTCCCTCAGACTAAAGGACCAAGACTCTAATGTTTGTTCCTTAGACCCAGGGGTCTGTACTCCAACCCTCCTCCCTCATGACTAGGGGTCCAGGTTCCAGTAACCCCACTTTAAGACCCAGGATTCAGACTCCAGCCATCACACCTTAGACCCAGGGATCTAGGCCTAGGCCCCTTCTCCCTCAAAGTCCAGGTCTCAGCCCTCTTCCCTTGAATCTAAGCATCCAGATCCCAAACATCTTCACTCAGATCCAAGGATCCATACCCTAATACTCTCTCCTATAGATCTAGATGTTCAGATCCCAGCCCTCCTCCCTTAGACCTAGGGGTCCAGGTGTAGTCCTCCTCCCTCAGACTCAGGGGTCCAGACCCTAGCCCTCCTCCCTCAGACCCAGGGTTCTAGGCTCCAGCCCTCCTCCCTCACACCCAGCTCTCTCTACAGTGAGAATTGGAGTTATGCTGATCCCCAGGGACCCTTGGCCAGACCCCTGTGGCTCTTTCCTCTTGAGCTTCCTATGTTCCCCTCACCCTCTTCTTAGTACCGTAAGTTTCCTCATCTCGGGGCTCCTTGGCAACTTCTGGCCAGGTAGGGAAATGGCCCAACAGTGAGGATGTTGCCAAGGGTGCCTTGGCCCTCCCTGACCTTGCTTCTCTTCCTGCCGTGGCCTGCTTCTGTCTCGGTTTTCTCTCCCTTCTACATTGCTTTTCTATTTGTTCCCAGACTTTTGGGATTTTCCTTCTGTTCTTTTCCTCATAGCTCAGTAGTGGTCCTGGAGTCCTCACTTCCCTCCCATTTGGGAAGGAGTTGAGATATTATGTGGGAACAGGGTTGTGTAGTGGGTGAACATCTCATCTGAGTAGAATTCACAGTGCCAAAGTTCCTTGCCACAAAAGGACTTGAAGGGTGTGTATTAGAAAGCCACTTTTTCAGAAAATTATGTCACAATTTGGAGGTATGAATACTTCTACCACATTGGATTTAGTTTTGTATATATATATATATCCACATACATATATTTTTTGAGGCAGAGTCTTTCTATGTAGCTCTGGCTAGTCTAGTATGTGCTATGTAAATCATATTGACCTTGAACTCCAGGTGCTTAAAAATTTTTAATTTTATTTCATGTGTATGAGTGTTTTGAGTGCATGTATGTAAGTACGACCATGTGGTCAATACCTGCAGAGATCAGAAGAGGGGATTGGATCCCCTGGAACTGGAGTTACAGAAGGTTGTTAGCTGCCATGTCAGTGCTGGGAACTGAACCTGGGTCCTCTGCAAGATTAGCCAGTGCTCTTAACACCTCCTCCCACTTTTTTTGAGACAAGGTCTCACTATGTAGCCCTGGCTGGCCTGGAACTCACTATGTGGACCAGGCTGGCCTCGATTTCAGAGATCTGCCTACTTCTGCCTTCCTAGTGCTGGGATTAAAGGCGTGTCCCACCACACGCAGCCTGTTCTTTTGTTTTTTGTTTTGGAACTCTTGGCAGTAAGCAACTTTACCCACTGAAACATCTTGCTGGCCCATCACTAGTCTTTCTAATATTTACTATTGGAAAATACTTTTCTTGGGAAAGATATTCCACAAACCGCCTGAAACAGGGATTCTTCTTCACGCATTTTATTGAAGGAGTTCTCAAGGGAAAGGACATGAGGAAGTAGGTTGAAGGGAGAAAGGCGGTGGCGGGGGTGGGGAGTTGGAGACTCACTGTAGTTAGATCCTGCCCTGATGCCAGTCCTCCATTTTGGATTCCCAGTGCAGTAAACTGTTGGCCAAGGCCTGCCACTGAGGTGAGGGTGTGCAGAAGGTGTGGCCTCCTTGGCGAGGGGTTTACTGGGGGAGGCCAGTTCTCCGGAGAAGGGATCAGCTAGCCAATGAGACTTGGGTGAGTTGTACCATATTCATTTCCTTGCTGGACCCAGGTTCCATTCCAAGGACCATGCATGGGTGGAGGGGCATGAGGTAGTTTCTATACATATTAACTTCATAATAAGAGCATAAATACTAATAATGATAAACACCAGTATTTATTATCAGCACCATGGGGTGGCTGAGTTAAGGACACTAAGAAATTCACATGTAGCATGCCTCTAGTGGGTTACACTGTATGACCTTTCGCCCCCTTTTCCTTCCCCTACCCCCATTGTTTTATGAAGCCCACGCTGGCCTGCAACTCACTATGTACCTGAGGATGACCTTGGACTTCTCTTTCTGCCTCTACCTCCATGGTGCTGGGACTTCAACTGTGCACCACTACCCCCAGGTTATGCAGTGCTGGAGCTGGAAGCCAGAGCCTACTAAACAAGCACTCTATCCACTGAGTTACATCCCAAGGCCCCTCTTTCTTTTTTTCAGTGGGTTCACAAATTGTAAACCCCACAAATCCCTTGTCTTAGCGGATGCTAAAACTGAGCTGAGAGAGAGGCTTACTCAAGACTTCGGAGGTTAGGTGTGCTTAAGCCAGAATCGATTCTGGGTCCTCAGCCCAGTTTGTCTGAATCATGTGGTTTTCCTTCTTCTTCTTGACTGGCCAAGGGCCTCACCGCGTATAAGAAACCCAGATCATGCTAGAACTTGCACTGGATGTTTGCCTACAGAGCACTAAGCCAGACTCCTAAATACTCAGGTGGAGCTTCCTCCATGGTGACAAAGTATAAATACTTCTCCCTTAGATAACTCTTTCAGAAAACACTTCCCCAGACTTCCTTACTGATGAGAGAAGGAAGTACTTTCACTCCGGGTTTCTCCCAGCTCCAGGCCCGGCCTCAGTCATTGTTCTCATCTCCCTGGGTTATGATTGTCCTTCTCCAACGGTCCCTGCCATTTCTAATGCCCTAGCAGGGCCTTGCATGAGGCCTCTCTGTGCACAGGGATAACAAAGGAACAAGAGCCTCCCGCTCCTCTTGTCTTAAAAATTGCACAGGGGTGGTTCATTTCCCCCATTATCATTATTGTTATTATTGCTATTACAGTATTGTCGTTAGTAGTGCAGTGCTCAACGTTGAATGCAGAGCCTCACATGTGCTTGGCAAGCACCCTACCACTGGGCTACAGTCTCATCCCTCATTTGATTTGATTTTGGCAACATTCTTTGCCTTCTGGGTGGTGAGTTCTTGGCTACTTAAAATACCTTGGGGGCCAGGGATGTGGCTCAGTTGGACCTCCCTGGGTTCGATCCCCAGTGTCACATAAACTGGGTATGGTGGTGCACACCTGTAATCACACATTCCAGGAGTCTGGGGTCTAGGTCATTGTGTTCCTTTATTGGCCTCGACCTCCACATCTGTGCAGCTTTGCATCGTGTAGACATCCTTGACTACAGTCAGCATTGTGTGTCAAGCATGCTTTCAGTAGCATTTAGGTTGTGGCTAACACATAAGCTGTCTCTAACAGTTGTCCCTAACATGTAAGTACCATGCCAGATAGGGCTATGGAACAGGACCTTGTCTCAAAAAAATTGTAGCTGTTAAGTAAATTGTAGTTGATAGGTGATAATGTCCACAGATCTCTCTTAGTCCCTCTCTGTGCCTGGTACATCTAGAATCCTGTGGTACATTACTGGAATCAAGATGTAAGTTAAGACCTGAATGGGGCTGGGGAAATGGCTGAGTAGGTAAAAGTGCTTCCTGTAGAAGCATGAGGATTTGAGTTTGAATCCCCAGCACCCACGCAAAAAGCCGGCAGTGGTGGTGTGTGCCTGTGACCCCAGTGCTGTGATGGGCAGAAGCAAGAGAATTTTTGGGGCTTGCTGGTTGCCTGCCTAGCTCCAGACTCAGTGAGAGACCATGTCTTAAGGAAATAAGGGGAGAGCGATGGAACAGGGCAACTGATATCTTCCTCTGGCCTCTGCACATGCGTACTCCCTCCACATGTGCATATACCACATATATACACATATATACACATGTATACACACATACATACACATATATACACATATACACATACCACACATATGTAAACACACATACATATATACATACACACGTATACACATATGCACATACACCATATACACATATCCCACATACACACACACCTACAGACACACACATATTACACACACATATACCCTCATATACACATTCACACACACTAAAAAGAAACAAGCAGCTGGCACATATCCTGCACACATGCATTAGTATTTCTGTTGTAGAGATGCGAAGTTATCATGACTTCAGGGACACATAGAAACATGTCTCTGTAAATCACATCAGGACAGCCATAGAATATTTGTACTGTAGGTATTTATGGAAAGAAATGAAATTAAACATGAAAGTGCTTTCCTGATGTTTTGTGTAAATTCTTTCTTTCTCGGGTCCAATATGTTTGAATGAAAAAGTCAACACAAGTTGCAACTTCATGGCGGGGCCCAGTAGCATAGGTCTGTAAAATCAGCTCCCCGAGAGGCTGAGGCAGGCAGATTTTAAGTTCAAGGCCAATCCAGGCAACTTAGTGAGATATTGTCTCAAAGGAATTGTGGAAAGAGGGCAGGGTAGATATAGCCCAGTGGTGGAGCACTTGCCTAGAACCCACCAGTGGGGAGCTGGGGATACTGGCTCAGTGGTAGAGTGTTTACTTAGCATGCACAAGAGTTTGGGTTCAAGGCCACGGGTTCAATCCCTGTTAAAAAAGAGAGCGGAGCCTTTAGATGGCTGAGTGGGTAAAGTCACTTGATTCCAAAGCTGATGACCTGAGTTCAATCCCTGGAACCCACATGGTGGAAGGAGAAAATTGACTCCTATAAGTTGCCTTCTGACCTCCACAGGTGTGCCATGGCACAT